ATCTTAATAAGTTCTTAACACTAATAGGTAAAGTTTTCTATTGATCGATTAATAGTACAATACGAGAAATAACCGATCACATTTTAGCTAATAGACCTACTTCTTTGGGATTTCATACACATAACTAAACTATACAATAATTGATTAAGCAAAGGTTTCAAAGGATTATGTATCTGAAACATTATTATTTATGATAAAAGGATACTTTTAATAATGGTTTTTAGAAATGTTTCGAAAAAATAAAACCAAACAAAGCAAAGATGTTGATTATGAAAAATAGTGTCAGTTGCAAAAATAAACTTATCAATGGTAAAGCTTTAAAGAGTCAGTCAGTCAGCTACAACGTAGGACCAGGCACATATATGCATAGGTCCAAGTTGCCATACCTCATTAACACAACAAGATGAACACCGGATTCATAGAAGCAGTTAATTCAATGGTAGTAATATATAAACGAAAGATTGCATACAAGGACATAGTACAGGAAGAAAGAATTAGTTCGTAGAAAGAAAGATATGGAGTGATTTTAATTTCTTAGTTTAAGGGAGGACAGAGAGTGTATACACGTTCTCCATTGTGGTCGATTCTGAGCCATGTTATCCATAGTCTCCAATCAAGTAGTCTGCATCTACCAATATGGCTCAGACTAGAAGTTAATGACTTCAAGCATTGATACCACGTTTTGGTTTGGCCGACCCTAACTTTCTTCCAACCATCTCCAACACCGGTTAGCATTGCACATCATGGTAATCGGTGTTCAGGCATACGTAACACGTGGCCCAACCATCTCTGTCGATGAAGAATCACAACCTCATCAACTGATTCATCATCATTCCCTAATACCCTGCACGTCTAACCTAACTATTACTTACCCAGTGAACCCAGGTTTAAAGATGATAGCTCTGAAAAGTTAACTCCTAGTTAAAGTAAGTATTGAATCATCTAGCTGTTTAAATGTGTCTTTTGTTATCAGCACTTGTTCAAAACAAAAACATACATATTTTATCTGTTAAGCTATAATAAGAGAGAATAAAATAATCCAAATTGTAATGTAAATGAATGTTATCAGAATTTGATAATGCGATTTACAAAGTAGACAAAATTGACCTTGATAATTTACTGGGATTGTTTTTCATTCCTATAAATTTCCGTTTTAAAATAATCTTTTTCAACTTAGTGAAGTCCATTAGTTATAAGAAAAGAAGATAATAAATGTATACAACTAATCAGCATTTCTTATTTATAAATTATATATCCCTATCAGTCACGTAAGGCAAAAATATATCAGAAGTATATACAAACGTACCTATCTAAAGAAAATAGGTAACTTAGTTAAATGACTACATTATCATGTTTCTGAAAACAGGAAAAGATATTACCGATAGTACAACATATTGAGACTTATCTATCTGAAAAGTAATGCTTCATCAATTCAGATGTAAAATATGTAAGTAATAGAAAAGATGTAAGGCTTTTAGCAGAATAACAGTAATGTATGCAGAAGCATTGAAAATACACAACTGTCTTGAGGATATATTTAGTTTAAATTCGTCTCAAACAATTAAAACGAAAAACAGTATGGAAACTACGTTGTATGAAATGTCTATATACATCAACTGGTTACTAAATATTAAACAATTTTACACTGTCTACTCCTTAATATTTAATAAATTATACAAATAAAATTATAGTACGAGTACTAGCCTTGATATATTGTTGCACTTTGTCTTGATGTTAAATCTGTTGAAATTAATTGACCGGAAATCCTTAACTTATATTTTGTTCTGTATGACATTTTTCAGCAGGTAATACATGACGTTTTGTTGAAAACTAATATTTTCCAAAAAATTCGTACTGTTATCATTCTCTAGTACATTAAATTAATTGTAACTCGACGATAATGTTTACTTAGTGCTAAGAACTAAAAAAACACAACATCGGTTACTACTTTGTAAATAACACCAATTTCACCCACATTAAAATACCTCATTCTTTAACTTCATCATACACTTTAATAAATTGTCTTTATTTTAATGTTACGTTTCACTTAGGTCAACTACTTCAGAAAAAATAGAGACTAGTACAGTTTACAACTTGACTTTGATCTCCACAACCACTTGTTTGTGTATAGTTTAATGTTACTGACGTTTCAAGAATTAAGCCTGCTCAAGTATTAAAATGAGTCTGATAAGTCGTTTCTAAATAAAATAAGATTATATATATATATTTCGGTTATTACATCAAAACACAATGTCAGAATCTAAATCATGTTTAATTCATTATGTTCTATAGCATAGACTTGTGTACATGTGCTACTGAACAATATACATTGTAATATTTTGTGTATTTCAATTAAATGTCAAGTTCATTAAAGTGAGATGTTTTAATTTAATTGAAGAAAGAAATGAAATTAGTATATATGTTATGTGTATTACTATTAATTAAAAGAAACATCCAGAATTTATTATTTTTTGTTTGTTAGTGCATACGCGATTAAACGAAAATATACGTCAATATTAAGATTGAGAGGTATTACTGATTATCTATAGTATACAATGAAGGTAAATAATAATCGATTTGTACAATCTGTTCTTATTAAACATTGAATCCAAATTACTGAGGAATTTCAAACAAATTAACATGTATTTAACTTTGGTATAAGTTGAAGTAATATTGTGGTTAACAAACTGACATAATCTGCTATCCATTCAGACACATGGATGATTCAAAATCTAACCAACTCAATAAGACAATAGAAGAATACAAGAAGATTTAACAAGCCGCATGGCCTACTTTTAAATAAATAATATTTACTTCTCATCCGTACTCATTGGAAGACACACTGACCTTGATATAGACATCCAAGTGATGATGTTGTGTAACGAAAAATTCTACCAATAATAGTAACTCACCCATGGATATACTTGACTGATTCATTTGGTTTGCTCTACCGAAATCAGAAATTTCACTGATTTTGAGTAGCAATCATTAAATACTGTATGACAGTGTTAGACAGGAAAAGCTTTGTTGAACAACAACTATCAACCACAATTTCAAAAAAGTAGTATTAATGAGAAGCTGACATCTTGATCTTAGACAATTCTGCCAATGAATCTTCAGTAATTCGAATGTTTTCAAACATCACACTGAAATTGGTAAATAAAAATTTATCCCAATCGATTTATCTCCCATTAGTTCACTCTTCGGAGTTATCGAACTGAATCGCAATGGTGTGGAGAGAGTGTATACAAAATCTGATTGCTTCTTTTACACTGAGTATATCGGAGACAAAGTACTATTTCCGTTAAATGTTTCCGAAATCTACTATAGTTAGTTTTCAAAGTAAGCAGTAAGTGTTCGTTTATCGAGTACCGCTGACGATTTGTTGACAATGCTATAGTTAAAATTTGGTAAAAATAAACTTCCAATCCTCTTTGTCAACCCTAAGTAATATCCTACAGAAACAGTCTTCCAACCAGCTTTACTTCAGAAAGTATAATTTAAGATCAATCAAATCATCAGATTTTCTAAACAAGGACATTAGCTGACTGGACAGTCATTGTGCTGAAATACGGTTAGTTGGGTAAATATTAACTAAGCAATGGTCATGCAAGACTCACAGTAACTGAAGCAGAAATTAATATAAAAAAACGGTAAACCAGATGAGTTAAGTTCTTCCACAAGTAAGATTTCTCTATATTTCGTCTCAATATGCATAAATTTGCTATGCTTCTGAATTAGCAAACCAGGAAAATTATTTGACCTGTTTCCGAAGAACTCTCAAAGTTCGCGACCATTCATAATCTTAAAAATATTTTATGACCCACAATTAGTTATATTCCTCAGCATTTTGCGAAACCTGATTTCCGAAACACTAACCTTCCTTCTTTAAACCATGTTTTTATTTATTTTTCTCTTTTTTATGATTAGAGCACGAAAACTACTGTTTTTTAGAATGCTACTGAACAAATGTAATGTTGTTTCCATAATAAATAAAGATTATTCGGAAAATTACTGTTTACTTGAATACACTCACCACCAAACAGAGCACATAAACATTCCTTTCAGATTTTGTTACTAACAAAAAGACGGGTATTCAAATGATAAACACTTGCAGAAATCCAAGTTGTGATAAAACAGGCCATACATCAAGTAGCAAGTAACTGTACGTATAATCTATGTTTATGAGGGGTTCGATCCCATTAAATAATTCATGGAGTTGTAACTATGGTCGTTGAAGAGTAAAGAAATATATAAATACAAACTCAGTAAACTTTCGGAATTAGTATCTTACTAAGTAGCATTCTAAAATCTTACCATTATATCTTTCTCTGTGGCTTAACGATTGAAATTTCTACTTTAAACTACGGATTATAACACGTTAATTAACTAATTTTCCTAATATGAGTCAGTCCTGATAGTTTTCAATTATATGGATATATAATCTTTATCGAAACTGACTTATGGCTTGTAACGAAATTAAAACATACATTTCTACTAGAATTAGACGCTTTGTAATCAAACTATTCATCTCAAAGAAATCATCACTACCAAAAGCATCAACTATTCAATCTAATTTTCCGTGCATTAGGTATAGTTTTCTAATGAAAATTACATCCAAACTGGATTTATTTATTTAGACTATGGAATTACTACTGAATGTGAAATGTATTCACTTTGTTCTTTGAATACTGTTGATAAATGTATTTCTTTAAAACGATAGTGGAAAGAATTAATTCTATCAACAACAAACAAAAGGTTTCAATGAAAAAATTTACACAAAATAGTTTACTCTTAAAGCTTAAATTTTTATTATTACAAACTTCTGCTTTTTATTGAATGAATAGCTTGAAGAACTATTAAATTTATTCTTGTAATACGTATAAAACGTTAAAAAAAAACTAATTATTATACATTAGGTTAACAACTACAATGAACTTTTGTTGCCAACAAACGATTTTCTATCATTAATTTTTTTAAAAATTACTCATAATACTCACCAACTCGACCCGTTTTTGATAATTGGATAATATTGATGTAATTTGTTTAAAAAGATGTTCAATAGAATTATTCCTCAATGTGTTAAATCCTGGATTTTTAGTATTGATACCATTCTTCACAATATTATTGATATTTTTATGAGTGTTGACTGAAGAAGTAGTAACAGTAGTATTGTCATTGCGTAATTTAGTCAATCCAATAGCTCTAATCAATAAACTTAACAAACATGCTGATCTCCATGGTTCTAATATTGAATCGGTTTCGATATCCCATACACCTAATGCATCTAAACTTATTAATTTCTGTGAAATGGATGATGACAGAGAAGAGGTTGACACCGAAGTTGATAATGTTGAATCCGAAATTTTCAATGGAACTAGCAATGGCTCAATTATCCATTCCAATTCATTTAATGCTGGAATTGCTTTGTATTGTTTCATATCTTCGAGTACAGAGGATGAATAAACACTCAAACTGTCGTGTTCTGATGAACGCGGAGTGATATCATTATCATTGGATATATTTGTCTTGATATTTTTCACATTTCTGTTTATTTCTATATTATTAACACTACCAGTATCATTTTTTGTAAATGAAAGTTCTAATTTATGGTCGGGTATACACCTTGGATCTTTAAATAAATAAACATAACCACGTTTACGTGAACCAAAAAGACGAGATCACCAGGACGAAGTTGTTGTCTTTGGAATTTTAGTGAACAAGATGGTTTGACCAAGTTATCATTAACATAAATTTCAATATTATCTTGTATACGATGAAAACTATTAGGTGTCACTGAACCACTAGAACTAACAGTGGGATCCATACCCTGATCCCATGGTTCAAGAAATACTAAACTTTCCTTAGATGAATTATTTGATGTGCTCAGTACATTATAACCTACAACTTTTGCAATAATAGAATCCCCTTCAGATGAATTCATTTCAGATGGTGTAGGATATAGCCGAATATCAACGTGTTTCCCATAACCAACAGTCATATATGACTGCATTGCATTATCAATGATTAACTTGGTAACATCATGCAAAAGAATATCACGATCTGGTTGATTACCACGTAATAAAAGGAAATAAGGTCCATGTGGAATTTGTAGTCCTCTAAATGCGCGACCTCGTCGAGAATCTTTGAAGTGTGTAATTCCATTTACAGGTGTACAAGATCTTGATGAATTTAATGTAGTTTGAGAAGTTGAAACAGAACCTCGTAAACTAGCCTGTGAACCATCTACACTTCTACTTCCTTTCATAAACATGGATCCAGATGTATTATAGTCACTGTTTACGGGTCTGAGTTCTAATCTCCGGCATAATCCGTAACCTGGAATGGTGTTTTGTAATAATGAGATAATATTTTCATTTAAATCTATTTGACGAGTATTACGTTCAGTGAAAGACCAAATCGGTGTGGCTGATAAATGAGGGGATGGAACTGGTTGAATATGTCCAATAATTTCATATAAACAAAAATCATCACGTGTCCCATATTTTAAATAATAAGTGTCAACTAACTCTTTAACAACTGATCCTGCCGTTGTTGAACCATTAATTCTTATAGTTTTAAAATGATCTCCTTCACGTACTTTTTCACAAAATATTTTAAGAAAATGCTTTTTAAAGCCATCATTCGTTATTATTTGTTCCCAGGATAAGTCCTTTGGATATGAAAAAATTTCATTGTCCTTATTATTACTATTATCATATCTAATGTTGCTACTACTATGATTATTCCATATAGCAGATGATGATATGTTTTGACGCGATTTCGATGCTGAACGAGACGTGCGAAAAATCGACCTTTTCTTTTTTTCTGAGTTTCGTTCGTTAGTTAAAGTATTACCACGGGGAATTTGGGAGTTCGAGCCAAGGTTTGCAACTCTGTTTAACATGATTAAAAGACTAATCCATTAAATCAATCAATTAATAGTTTTGGGATCATTGATCATATCATATGTGCGAGATTTTCGAACATCGTTCCTTGATTTTGATAAAATTCCTCATGTACAAGCTATTTTATGCCCATGTTTGTAATAAATTTCAATAAATCAGGCGTTAACCAAATTGTCCAAATATTTATGTGCGTTCTTTTAGTCAAGATGTGATTAAACAATACAAATGGTTCATCCTACGCATTAACATATTTATTTTCAATATGTATGTATGGTCTTAGGTGTTGTTCTCTCATTGGCTAACAACACAACAACAAGAATCGATTTCGTTCATAGTCTGTCTGTACTTACTACTCATAAAACTATACTCCCTTAAGAAACACATATGCATATGTCTAGTCACTAATTTCTATTTCATTAAATTAAGTAATTATCTATTCTAAAAAGTCACAATTAAATATTTGCTCATTTTAATTTGGAAAGATTATTCTGTTTTAGGATAGTTGTTGTTACTGCCAAAAAATTCCTATACATGAAACCATAATCAACTAAGTGGTTCATTTGACAAAAAAATGTCTCAGTCCTTAATCTTTACTACTTAAACATTTACACTGTTCTAGTTATGGTCAATATACTGAAAATAGTTTGCTATTTAGAACTACTTGTACGTCGGAGTTGTTAATTAAGACAGAGGAAAAAATTAGAAATCTCACTGTGTCAATCACAGAAACTCTTAAAATTGAATCAGCCAAAAAAGCTTTGTGTCACTAAGCCAGAAATCTAACATTTTGATAGCTTACTCGAATACGGATAAAAAACAATGGTAATTAGTTATGAGAATGTTAGGGATAAAAGTAATCCACATCTTCCACATCATACAAGTCCTCAATGCATATAATCGTTGTAGCGAAAATACAGAAGGTTTAGTAACTTTTAAATAGTTAGGTTCGAACCATCAAGTGTAATTCAAGATGTCGATTTCAGTATTTCGATAATATACGTCTAGGTGGTGAATGTTAATATGTGAATCTAGCGATCGACATTTCTCAAAAGCAAAAATTAATCGCACTTACTTGACACAAACATCAAAATAAGTTTACCAAATGGAAACACAAAATTAGGATTACCTAAGTTGATCAGTTTTTTTATTCTAAATGCAGTACGCATCCAACATATACAAACAGTCTCATACGTGTATTGATGTTACTTTATCGTTTTAATAAATACGAATGCAATCACAAAACTTAATTTCTGTTATCATGATGCTGGTCTTGAAGAATGGAAAAGTAAGTTTATTGTCTTACAAATTCTATTTAGCAGAATATCTTATGGAAAGAATTCTCACTAAAAACGGTTGTGCTGAAAAATCAACAATTACATTTTTCTTACATTTTTGGAATAACCGCATACGAAAAGACTAACTTTATCAGTGCAGTTGAAAACTATTGTCTACAATAATAGTAAAGTCGTTTGCAAGTCATTTTTCGTCAGATATCAGTTTTGTCCTACATTACGAATTCTCAACAATCCTTACTGTCTGCTTAACTAAGGCTCTGATGAAGAAAAGGAGGAAAAATTATATTTAAAATAAACAGTTTCAATCTACATCAGATTAACTACAAAGTTTTGAATGTTAAGTCAACTAATATGAATTAAATAGATTAAACCAATATAAGTTATTTAAAAAAATTATTTATTTGAAAGTTAATTTTAATCGCTTAATTAAATCCTTATGCTGGGATAAATTACATAACAGAATATTCTGTATAAAAGACCCTTTCATAGACACATTTAAATGATCTACAGGATATACTCATAGAACAATCAACACAAGGATTCTTTTAGTCACTTGTTTTATAGATCCTAATATATATGGTATAACTAACAGTCATTTTTTGTATATAACCTAAATATCTGTAACCCGAAATATAGCTCATTAAACAAATTGAAAGGAAATAACAATTGTTCGCTGCATCGATGCATACTGCTCCTCTGAAAATGCACTGAATATTCTAGCACCTGTAAGTGTATCACATTCCACAAGTGATATTATAGGAAGTTTAAATGTTCAGCCATTTTTACCAGTGCATTCCCTAAGTAAAACCACCTACTTGCTGTCACTTTATGTTAACACTGTCCGTAGCAATTGGAACTAATTTGAATAACATGAACAGTATATCACTGTGTCACATGACACACACATTTAGGTAGACCTGATTCATATATTTTAGTAATTACTGCTTTGTTGTTCCGTGCTCTTTGTTTTCGTTTTAATTTCTCTAGTTGTAGATAATTATCATTAATTCGATCTGGTACACGAAATGATCTTAATTACTCCGGTCATAAATCAACAGGCTGTCCATTTAAGAAATAATAAAAACTCCCGGCTGATGCATTGGATCGCTGTAATACATGTACTACTTAAACAATTACTGAACTAGTATACTTAAAACTTTCTATCACATGTTTGTTCTGTACATCTAATGTTACTATTCATATCAAATTGATCATGCCTGTAAACTGGCGTGAATCCTGTAATTATTATTTTCGTAATATATAAATTATTATTATTAATAGTATTTAATATTACTGTACTTGAAAAAATTATTTACGTAAATATATAATTAATTGAATAAAACAGATTGAAATATAAGATCCAAACTATTAGATTAATGTACATAAAAATTACTTAAGAGCTTACTCAACTAATAATGTATAATAATTTTATTGCGTTTTTACTTGAAAATCCGTATGGTGAAAGAGAAAGATGAAAATGATGCTTTAAAAAAAGTTGTTTTATGTAATACCATGTCATTTCAAAATAGTATTACTTTAATTAGCTTTATTGGATATACATTTCTATATATAAAACAAAAAGTTGACATTCAAATTACAAGTATATTAATAGATATTGATGACAATAAATTATTGGTATTGTAATGCAAGATATTATACTACTTGTGAGTAGAAAAAATATATCATAGTGAAGTTTCAAAATATAATTCCATTTTAACTTGGTCTAATGAACAAATAATTCTCAAAATTAATTTAATAAATATTAACATTTTAAGATTATTAATTATGCACAATAATAAAGTAATGACTAATGTATAGGTTTTATAACAATTTACTGCTTGACAGTCAGAGAAGACATATTTCCCTTTATTGTTTATTGGAAGCTTAAATCAAATGTGGGCAAATGAATTTAAGTTGTTGATGTGTGCCATAGATAATTCAGGCTAATTTAGAATACTACTAAATCCAGTTTATAGAGAACTTGAATATGAAAAAGGACAATACCTCTCTATGAAAACATCACGGTAAACTTCTACAAATTTATCAGTTATGCAGGTTACATAGTCAAAATTAGTGGAATTAAGAAAAATTCTAAGGATCTAATCAACATCATATCGTAGTTTATGCAACTATATAAGCTCTAAAACTGTTTCATTGACATTTGAATAACCCTTGCCAGTATACATCGTAAATGTTGACAGGGTTCACAACCCTTGATCTGCAAAGTTTAAGAAGATATTGCACACGCGCTTCCACTGAAATAAACCTCTGTGAATGACTTTATTTTCATTTTATCGTGACGGGAAGTCTTTTTGAGGAAGACAATAATCTCATCCTCTTTAGCAGATAGATCTTAATATGAAAAACAAAAAAATACAAGTACTCAGTTGGTTAAGACAAAATACTGCAAGTTAAAAACAGAGCTTTAAATAGAGAAACAGAATAGTCGATTCAAGGTTCAGAGGTAATTAAGCATAAATCCATGGACGGTAAATCATTCATACGTAAAGAAATAGATGGATACAACATAAAGTTACTCAATACATATTTTTAAAAAATTTAATGGAATTTATTCGCAAATTTTCGGTGAATATTACGAAAGTAACCTAAAATCATCAACTAAATGATCACTGAACACCAAATAATGTGTACTTTGTTCAGTCCGTAATGATAATCAAATTTTATCCATAGTCAATCATCTACAACGTAGGACCAGGCACATATATGCATAGGTCCAAGTTGCCATACCTCATTAACACAACAAGATGAACACCGGATTCATAGAAGCAGTTAATTCAATGGTAGTAATATATAAACGAAAGATTGCATATAAGGATATAATACAGGAAGAAAGAATTAGTTCGTAGAAAGAAAGATATGGAGTGATTTTAATCTCTTAGTTTAAGGGAAGGCAGAGAAAGTATACACGTTCTCCATTGTGGTCGATTCTGAGCCATGTCACCAAGTCTCCAAACACTAGCTACGATAGTCACGTGGACCCCAACCAAATAGTCTGCATCTCCCAACATGGCTCAGACTAGAAGTACTATGTCTGAGCGTTTAGCTTTCTGAAGAAGTTCAGAAAGCTTTCTGTAAAATTCATCTTTCACTTCATCTGAGCTGCAGTCGGTGGGAGCGTAGGCAGAAACGACAAAAAGGCAACGACGTGTGTCCCTATCCTTCCGAGTTCTTACGTAGCCGTTTAGCCGAACAGCACATAAACGACTGTTAACGCGGATCCACTCTAACAGTGCTTGTTCTGCCCTCATGCTTAGTGCTATCCCCACTCCTGCCAGTCCACGAGAGCTGGCCGTCGGGTCACCAGATACACGGAGGGTATCTCGTTGGCTCTTCGTTTTGCCGAGTTGAGGTCAAGTGAATGACCACACTGGGATCCTGTATGCGTGTTTCAGAGACACAGAATACATCAATGGTACGAGATTCTAGGGTTCTAGCCAAGTAAGCCTGTTGACCGATTTGACATAGGGTGCGTACATTGAAGGCTCCAATGTGTAGTTTGGAGTGAGGTTTCAGTAGACCTGGGACAGTGTTTTGAGCACTAGACTCGTTGGCTATGGTGACACTTGAGGGTGAAGCCGAAAAAGGAAGATTAGAGGCGAAAGTCGATGTAGGAGAAATAATAGAAAGTGAAGACGGAGGTTGATTATGAATACAGTAGTCTTGAGTGCTGTTAGAGGTATGAG